GTTATTTTACAATATTTCAATCAGGGTCTTTAATGAAGATTAAAGTATACCTATATATATAAAGTTTGACACAACTCCGGGGGGCAGTAGAAGATAGGAGGGCCTGCCGTGCTCTGGTCCATGGGGTCACGAAGAGTCGGACACGACTAAACGACTAAACGAAACGATAGGCTTTTTGATAACCATGTTATCAGTACTTAAAAAATACCTAAGTGTTCAATTGCAAATTTTATATTCTAAATAACAGGAGAATGCTTGTGATATTTCGGAACACCAAAATTGGTTTCTGGATCTTGTTTATTTGGGTCTTATATTTATACATCCTTGAAGTCTGTGTTCCAGTTGTTACAGTCAGTTTCTCCTGCCTACCTCCTGCCTTTTCTGGCCTTCATTTTAAAAAAAAAGCTATTTGATGCCCAATTCCCCTGAAAAGCTATCACATATTTCAGTGTTGGAAAGTTGTTGTTTAGTTGTTAAGTCGTGTCCAACTCTTCGAGACCCCATGGACCAGAGCACGCCAGACCCTCCTGTCTTCCACTGCCTCCCGGAGCCTGGTCAAATTCATGTTCGTAGCTTATGACACTGTTGGAAAGTTGGTCTAGTCTAATATAGTCAGAAGAAAAAATACTGACTTTCTAAAACCTTACTGACAACTTCCTAGAGAAGCAAAGGTACCGGTATCTTGATAGTGCAGGAGTTTTTGGTGTCCTTTTAGCCTAGGGTGAAAGACATTGTTCATATTCACCCCAGCTCTAGCAAAGTCCATCTGTGTGCAGAAGAGCATAGGCACATGCAGCTGGTGCAAATACAGATGCACATCATAGGTCAAATGTGGCTCTTATTGAAAATAGGTGGAGAAATCTTTTGATGTACATCTCTGTCCATACCTATCAGTAACTATGTGGATCTGGACCTGGCTGGATATGCAAATAAATTATTTAGAGAATAAGATAAACTAACACAAAAACATAACAATGTTAAAACATGACTGTGTTTCATATAATGTACCACTGGGTTGCCTTGATAGAATTGGGGATTAATAAGGTACATTAATTTATCTTTGTTGTGTCCAGGCAGGTGTTTTGCTGGTATCATTAAACCTTGTTCAGAAAATATTGATCTTGTAGCATTTTCTTATGTGAAACTATGCAATGTTTCCTTATTTGTTTTAGAGACTATCACATGTTTGTACCCTTTTTTGAAGGTTGAGACAAAGGTAAGTATATTTCCAACTCCTGGAGGCATATTACAGATTCAGAAAAATACTGTTTTTCATTTTTATTATACTTTGTCAACTGGCTTTTTAAAAGTTTTAATATTAATAGAAAGGAAGAGCAAAATTTTAAGAATCCGGGGTAAAATAGCAACAGCAGGCCATTATATACCTGAAACTATGCTGCATTGCTAAAATAATAAGAGTTCTTACATAGGCCTCACTCAGTTTGTGTATCTAGGTGGTTGGATTTTGTGCAGTTTATTATGTACAAGAGGTATTGGTACCACATGTGCCAGTTGTTGGTTTTTTTATTCATTTTCATAGGGATAGGAGTTATGGTACAAATAGGGGGCCAGGTAAGAGAGGGGAAAGGGTAAGAAAGGGTAAAATTCCAGAGAATGAAAAGTATTTTTACATCTGCTTGTACAATTATATTAAAAATGGAAATCATACATAGAAAAAAAACATTATAATATTTTCCTTTAATATTTATCATTACTAATCTTCCATTTTCTTGGTCTTTCTCTTACTTTTTATCTTTACGTTTACTAGTTTTATAGGTTTAATATTATTCTGCCATCTTATATCTATTGTTCTTAATCACTCTATTGCTCTAAATCACTGTTACAACTATTAATTTGTGTTCATTTTATCATATACAGTGGTGCCTCGCATAACGGGCGGCCCGTTTAACGATGAATCCGGTGGCCATTTTGAAACCACCGATCAGCTGCTCTAAAAACATCGTTTTGTGAAGAATCGGTTCCCGAAGCAGGGAACATCATTGCAAAGCGAAATTCCCGCATTTAGACCATCGTCGTAAAGCGGATTCGTTGTAATGCGGGGCAATCGTAAAGCGAGGCACCACTGTAATGGACCACACTTCCATTCTCAAGAGCTTGATATACTCCAGATATTGTCTCCTTTGTTTCATCTGCCACAGCATATGTCCCATCATCTCAATTCTTCTCCCTTTCATATCGAAGTTCATAGTATGCTTCATCATTTGCTGTACTTCCGCTGTTGACATCTCCATAATGGGGATTAACAAATTGGCTCTCTGCTGCATTGTATCTTCACCTTTTTCTTCTAGAACCTTCTGGGGTTTAAGAATTAAATTGTCTGTTTCTGTGGTTTTAAAAAAATGATTCCCTGTCATCGTTTCACTTATTTCTCCATCTTTACTGTAAATTCCATTTGTTTACCCACCTCTTTAATTTGTTCAAATAGGTGATCCATCTCCATTAGGTATAATGTTTTTAATATTCTTGAGGGTGTCTTGTTGTCCCTTAATTGGAGGTATTATCTGGATTTCTTTCCAGCAGATAGTGTCCACAATAATTATTCACAATAGTAGCTTGGAGCAGCAGGTCTACAGGAGGAAGGGCTTTTCCCAAGACTGTTTCTGGCTGCTTCACAGATTTAAATCCATCAGTAGTTTATGGTTATACAGTGGTGCCTCGACTTACGTACGTTCCTATTTACGAGCATTTTGAGTTACAACCAGCTCCAGCTGCAAAATTTCGCTTTGACTTGCGTCCGGAGATTCGAGTAGCAACCAAAAAAAGGCAGGGGGAAAGGTGGGAAATTCAAACCGTTGGTGGCACAGAAGCTGCTTCTTTGTAGCTCTTTCGTCCCAATGGCTAGGGAAAGGGATGCGGCAGCGGGGGACATTATTGCACCTGATGGTGGGATCCTGGTCCTCAGCCTCGGTGCGGGGGCGGAGGGCCCCCCGATCCTCGCTCCCAGAGGAAGGGTCCTCCCATGTCGCTGCCTCCTCCTTCCTGGCAGGGCCGCACTCAGTCCTTTGCCAAGTGGGGGTGGCTGCCCTTCTCCGCTGGCAGGCGGCTCCTGAGCAGCAGGTGGGTCACCCACCGGGGGTGCCCAGTGCTACCTCCTGCTGCGGCACTGACTCTGGCGGCTGCTCGCCAGGGTAGTTGTGTCGGGCCTCGGTGCTCCTCGCCGCCCTCTGTGCGGCTGATGTCGCTGCTGCTGCTGGGTCCCGTTCCTCAGCCTTGGCGCATGGATGGAGGGGCCCCCGATCCCGGATCTTGGAGGAAGGGTCCTCCCGCACAACCTTCTCCTCCTTCCTGGTGGGGCTGTGCTCAGTCCTTGGCCCCACAGGGGCGGTTCCCCTTCTCTGCTGGCCTCACCATCGAATCGCTGCGAGAGGCTCTGCCAGGCCTGGCTGGGTGAGCACTGCTCCTACGGGGATGGGGAGTGGGGCGTCGTCGTCAGCTAGGAGGCTCAGCCTGGCCTGGGCCACCATTGTGGCTGTGCTTGCCCCCCCCTCCGCCACTATACACCTCTTCAGGGGCTGGAAGTGGCCGGGGCCCATCGTTGGCCACCATCCGCCATGGCTCGAGCAGCTCGGTTAGAGTGAGTGCAGTCGGAGAAGGCTTGGGACTGCCTGGTAAGGTAATGTGCTGCTTTTTGCTTTTTAAAAACTGTTCTGGGTGGGTTTTGCAGGGTAGTTTTGGGCTGGGGGGTTATGTTTCTGTGCTGTGTTTTTGTTTGTTTTTGTTGATTTTTTTGCAGTCCCAGTTTGCTCTGATGTTTTTTTTCCAGCCTTAGTGCGTTCCTATGGGGCTTGCAGTGTTTTATTTTAATTTTATTGGGGGAGGTATTCATGTGAGATTGCCATATGCAGGGAGAGGATAGATGAACAGGGAGGAGCACCTGGGCATAAGCACACATTTGTCTTTATTACTGGTTCACTTGCTTTGACTTTCCTTCTGCTTGGATGTAAAAGGCTAAAGGAGTTATAGGTGCCCAGGGTATGTGGGTTTGCACCATGAAGCACTTCTGCTCACTCAGTTGAAATGGGAATGGTGTGATCACCTTGCGTAATCCTTTGTGCCAGGGCGGAATACCTGGCACATTTATGATGGAGTAATATTACATTATACCTTGATGAGCAGGATTCTGGTCGTACTGTTAGATCATCTGCCATATACAATAATATTTATTATCTTCTGCAATTTTTTTGTACCCATTGTTAACTGCCTTCAACATTGCTATGGATTATATTCCTCTCTAGTATGTTGGATCCAGTACTTTTTTCAAGTATGGCTGTGCTTACAGTTTACTAGTGTAACAGGATTACTATCTATCATGTTTTGATGTTAAAGTTTCATAGACATTGGATAATGCAAAAGAGGTTGGGTATTTGAACTGGCTCTTATTTTCTCTTGATACTGTCATTTATTTTTATTTAACTCCAAGGAGAAACTAGCTATAAATATAGCAAAGAAAGCTGTGCTATATTTTGTAGTCAATTAATTTTTTTTTCATCTTTACATTCAGATTAATAGCCTGGACATGACTTTACGTAAAATAAACCAGGATTTATGAAGAACAAATAATGTCAAACATAGTAAGATAATTGATATGGCTGAAAGCTTTCCATTTCCTTTTCTTTTAAATGTGTTGACTGGAACACATAAACAGCCAATTCTTGGTATGACTATGTATATGCAGAAACATTGTATATGGCAGATAAAATAACACAAATGATCCTCTTCAGTTTAATAGGAGGGGCTGATCATTGCGTTCATAGAATTCAAGGTCATACATCTTTGAATTTCCAAGGGAATCCTCCTCATGGAGATAAAAATCATGTTTCACCTGCAGTCTTGATCTTCATTAGCTGATAGGAGGGATTTGCAGCATTGGCAATAAGTTCTGCTGGTTGCTGGCTGACTGCCAAGCCAGGCTGCTGTTTAAGATACCAGGTCTCCCGCGTTTCTCTCTCCCTTGTTCTCTGTTTCTCTACAGCATTCTGTGCCCTGTCTTTGCTAGAAGAATAACGTACAAGCTGTTTTACCCAGCTGAAAATAAGGCTCTTTTTACTTGATTATAAAATTGTACAATAGTAATTTTGTGGTATCTGCGACTAAGGAAAATGAATTGCTATTGAGGAGTATGTTGATTGTAGGAATTTTTTGCTGCTGACGAAGAAGCAATCAGATATGCGGTCAGAATTTTAAGACCAGCTCAGAATGCACTTGGTTTTCTTTGGCTGGCTGCTGAACGAAGCTCTGCAGCCGGATGTGTGTGCTTTAATACTCCAGTTTTAACATATGGAATATGAAAGAAATGTAAGGGCTTCTAGTACATAAAAGCAATGGGGAGTAAGTCTGGATTTTCAAACTCTGTTTCTCAGCCGGAACATCCATTCTTCCAAGTATCAGGCAGGTATGTACATGTTTAGGTATTTTTTGTTCTGTTGGTGTATTTAGTCTTGTAAAACTGCATTATTGTGCCCGTCTCTCTAGTGGCAATGCAAGCACTTGTCTGAAAACTCTTCAAATTACAGAACAAAAGCAGTATTTAACAGTAAAATTCTGATGTGTTTTTCTATACTGATGCCTGAGCAGTATTTTTAAAACAATGTTATATTCACAGGCAAATAACATTTCATGATTGGTTATAATGCTTCTTAGTACGTATTTTGAACCAAGTTCTGTTTGAAAATAATGCTTATAGAATATTTTTAAACAGTGTGCATTGCATTAAATTGGTTGTTTTATCATACTATGGCAAAGATGTGTCTGTTTCACTGAATGGTGTTATGTTTCTATTAAAAATGCTGTTTAGTCACAGAGAACAAGGTCCTCGTATATCAGTTCTGTGATGACTAATGTGATTATGCTTTCAAAGCTCTAGGACAAGACAAAGTTGAAACATTTATGTGTGTGGAAATTAATGAATACTGATATGAAAAGTGATTTGTGAATCTTGTATTTTTTTTCTGTCAAGTAAGAGATCAATATTGCCTTTAAAAAGAGTTTCTCATGTAACTTTTTCAGGCATGTTATGACATGGCTTGTAGGTTCAAAGACTTCTATTAAACAGCTTTTACTTCTGCTGATACTGAACTGTATATAGTCAAGAACAAACAGGAACTGAACAAGTTTTATTCTCAGCTTTCACTCAGTATCTTAAGTTTCTGGCACACCTTTTTAAAGGAATGCAGTATTTGTTTACTAGGTCTGTCTGAAGGCTCAACCTCTTTCTGATGCTAAAGTGAAAACTAGAGTGTAAGTAGTTTCTGTACAATTATTCATGTGTTTGAAATGCATTGGAGGAAGAGAATATGAGAACAGGTTAATAATTAATATGTCCCAAACACTGAATGCACCCAGAAGTAGGACTTAAGATGTTTGCACTTACATTAGTTTCTTTTAAGTTTTGTAGGAAAATCTTGGTAAAAACATTTATCATCATGCTTCTCATATATGGGCTGTTGCACAGCTCAGAGAGCAGCTATCAAACCTCTTTATTTGAAATTGAGTGTCTGTCAGTTTGAAACAAAACAGGGCCACCCAGAAATAAGATAAGCGGTTTCTACATACTCAAGACTCCCTCGTTTTTAAAATAGTCCTGCCCCTCAATATCTTGCTTCCAGGGTTTATGCGGTGTTGCCATTTGAGCCTAAGACATCCCATTGTCTTCTAGAGATGGTATTTCTTGGTTCACTTTGAACATCCAAGACAGGAAGTCCTTGCTGCCTTTGTTGCTACCTTTTTATTTGAGAGGTGAGAGAATTTGCTTCTGCCCAGTCACAGCTGTGCTGAAATCTTGGCTTTGTTTTATTGCTTGCAACATTCTTATTCTTATCCCAGGGAGAAAAAAAGGAGTGTCGAAGACTGAAACTCTAGCAGACAGCACGAGTGCATTTGTTAGATCGACAATTAAACATACCTTAGTGGGAGTAAACTAAAATGAAAACACGGATAGTGCTGCACTGGAAATCTGTGGTTGAAAGTGGCTGAGATGAGAAATCATAGGTAAAGATCAGGAGGGGGGGTCGATATGTGCCATCAGAGTAGGAAAAAGACAAAAGACTTCCTTCACTATACAGAAATGTTTTAGGAGGATAGAAAGGAGAAAGGCCCACACCTTCCCTTTCTCACTCTCCAAAACATATTCACTGCTATATGGCAATGATATATTCAGATTCAAGGTTTACAGTCAGCCTCTGATCCTAATCCCTCAAACACTGTGTAGCAAAGCAAAACAGTGGAAAGTGGGTAGAAAGAAAAAAAGATGTCTCCTTTATTCTCAGCAGGGGCAGACCTTTGGAGGAGAGAAGACAACCATGTGTTGTTGTTTTTTTTTGTTCTCCCCCACCACTCCCCTGCTGCCTTCAGTTCTGAATTTCAGAGGCCTGAGCTGCATTCCAAGGCTTCTGATCCAGGCTGGCTGCAACCTTGAACAGGGGTATTCCTCTTAAGTAGGTATGCATTGCAGCATTTTGTTCCAAGTCTGGCTTCTTAAAATCTATATTGCAATGCTTCCTAATCCACTTGCATTATTATATTGCCAGGTCAACAGCACCCCATTATCTTAGAACCATTATCTGAGACTAATGAGCAGGCTCTTACAGTGTATCAGGTATGAGCCTTTCTGATGACACAGAGGTTAGATAGGCAAGAAGTTGAGAACAGAACTGTTTCTGGTCTGGCTGATTGTGGAAATCAACAAGAAGGCACATCTGAGTAAATGGGACCTAAATTCTATCTCTGTGCTAGAGAATGAACAGTTCCCTGAGACTCAAGGTGACGCCCTGTGACTTGGCAACCCTAATTGCATTTCTTGGATTTTTAGCCTTCCAGATCCAAAGTACAGTAGTAGATTCAATAATTTCAGTGTTGATTTAATTATCCTTGTGTTGTGTGCTGTCAAGTCAGAATTGAGTTAGGTAAAGGTAAAGATTCCCCTTGACATTTTTTGTCCAGTCGTGTTCACCTCTAGGGGGCAGTGCTCATCCCCGTTTCCAAGCCATAGAGCCAGCGTTTTGACCGAAGACAATCTTCCGTGGTCACATGGCCAGTGCGACTTAGACACGGAACGCTGTTACCTTCCCACCGAGGTGGTCCCTATTTATCTACTTGCATTTGCATGCTTTCGAACCGCTAGGTTGGCAGGAGTTGGGACAAGCGATGGGCGCTCATTCCGTCGCGTGGATTCGATCTTACGACTGCTGGTCTTCTGACCCTGCAGGACAGGCTTCTGCGGTTTAGCCTGCAGCGCCACCACGTCCCTTAGAATTGAGTTAGGATCTGTCCTTCCAGAATTGAGTTACAGTGATCCTAATAGGGCTTTAAAGATAAAATATTTAAGTAGTGGCTCTGCCAGTTCCAGCCTGCTGAGTGAATTTTTATGTTTGAGCAGGGGTTTGAACCCCCCAGACCTATGGAGTCCTAATCTGTCACTCTACCCCAGTGGTTCCCAACCTTGGGTCTCCAAACGTTCTTGGAATAAAATTTCTAGAAGCCTTCACCACTAGCTGTGGTAGTCAGAATTTCTGGGAGTTGTAGTCCAAGAATATCTGTGTACTCAAGTTGGGAGCAATTGCTTTATCCGCTATACCACACTGGATATCCAAATTGTGTGTGTGTTCTGTGCTTTTGCGTCAGGACCAATTTAGAGCTACGCTAATAGGCTTTTCAAGGTGAGTGAGATATTTAAGGAGTGGTTTTACCATTTTCACTCCCCCTGTGAGTTTCCACAGCCAAGTGCAGATTCGAACCCCATTCTCCAGAGTCCTATGTCCACTACTCTGTCCAGTACACCACACTAGGAACTAAGTCCACCACACTGGGAATTGTGTTTGGGAGGTGTTAATATTTAGATCTCCTTGTTTTTCTTGATGTGGTGGAAAGTGAGAATAAAAATTGTTGGTTTTAAAACGGTTTGAACTGGACTACAACTCCAGCTATAATAAAGTCTGGTTTATGAATATTCATTTAGAATTATTGCTGTTACCATAGTACTCTGATAAAGCATGGCTCCTAAGAGGTTTCTCTCATGAATAAGTTCTTGATGTGGCCTAAGGCAAGGTCCTGCCTCTTAGTCATAATTCTCTGTACTTAGTCACAACTCCAAATACTATCATTTTCTGACACACGGTTCTAAAGATAACCATAATAATCTGTTTGAAGCACTAGGTGTGTCTTGCTATATTACTTGCAAATTCTGCAAGGTGTGTGGAAGGAAATTGATTCGATGTCCTATAATTGATTCTGACCAATCACAACCCACCCAGGATTCTCTAGGTATAAAATGCTCGTAAGTGTTTTACAAGTCTCTAGCTTTGGGAGCATGCTCTGTTTTCTCCAGGTGATATTAGCTGGCCTCTTTCCTAGGAGGCACAGTGGGAATTTGACTTAAGTTGTGTCTGACTCTTCATGACCCCATGGACCAGAGCATGCCAGGCCATCTTGTCTTCCACTGCCTCCCGGAGTTGGGTCAAATTCATGTTGGTAGCTTCAGTGACACTGTCCAACCATCTCGTCCTCTGTCGTCCTCTTCTCCTCTTGCCTTCACACTTTCCCAACATTAGGGTCTTTTCTAGGGAGTCTTCTCTTCTCATGAGATGGCCAAAGTATTGGAGCCTCAGCTTCAGGATCTGTCCTTCCAGTGAGCACTCAGGGTTGATTTGCTTAAGAATGGATAGGTTTGTTCTTCTTGCAGTTCAGGGGACTCTTGGTCAGGTATTTTCACTCTAGTTTCTTTTTGATGTTAATGAGGTTATTCATAAATCAAAGGCTTTCTTTGTTGTTGTATATTTTCAGCCGTATTTTTGTTCTTCCCTGGGGGAATGGGGGTGGAGTTACTCACAGCTGTTCTGCCAAAACATGGCTCCTGTCTCTGATCTGTGCTCAAGTGAATTTTCAGAGGGAAGAAAAATCAGGTTGCTGCCCAATCTTCTTCCTTCTGGGGCTCACCAACTGCTTCAGAGGGACCTCTCTTGGTCTCCCCTTCGATCCTCCCATTTCTAGAGGGACCCGAGACCGGGCGGTTTCAGCTTTTCCCGGGAGCTGTTCCTGGAAGCTGCTGGCTTCACCGTGACAAAGCCCCGCCTCCGCAGTTCAATGGACTCTCAAGAGTCTCCTCCAGCACCACAATTCAAAAGCATCAATTTTTCGGTGGTGAGCCTTCTTTATGGTCCAGCTCTCACTTCCATACATCACTACTAGAAAAACCATACCTTTGACTATGTGGACGTTTCTTGGCGAGGTGATGTCCCTGCTTTTTAAGATGCTGTCTAGGTTTGTCATCGCTTTCCTCCCAAGAAGCAGGCGTCTTTTAATTTCGTGGCTGCTGTCTGCATCTGCAGTGATCATGGAGCCCAAGAAAGTAAAATCTGTCACTGCCTCCTATTTCCCAGGAGGTGATGGGACCAGTGG